GCACGGTAGGCACCCCTGCGCGGCCGCTAACCGCTGCAGCATTAGGATGCACGAGGGGAGGAAAGGAAGTGCACGCCAGGCCCGCAGCGCGAGAGGAGAGGGCCCCAGTGCGAACCATTGCGCGAGATCCAAGCTGGCGGAGCCCCACCCGCCAGCGGCATTGGCGGCAACCCAGCCGCGAGGGAAGGTCCCAGTGAAACAAGAGAGGCAGAGCCAGCTAACCGCTGAAGCAAAAGGAGAATAATGAGGAGAGCTCACCGTAACCCTGTGCACACTGACGCGCACGCCAGGCGCTCTGTACCGAGGCTTACTGCAGCACGCCCGCCACTGGCACCAACTTGCCGCTGTTCCCCGCGCGAAGGCCCGGGTGAAGCTTGGCTCTTTCAGCCGCGAAATAGCGTGCAATCGCGGAAAATAAAGTCTTCCAGTGGGCTAGCACACCGCCCCACTTGCGCCAGCGGGCGTAGGCAATGCATGCTTCCTTGTTTAGCCACGCACAAGTTACTGCAAGGGCCCGCAAGGAAGCGCCGTCAATGAAACATTCCAGGCGCTCTTCAATGGGACGCTTGGCAGGGGCAATCACGGTGGGCTGCCAGTCTGAAGCCGGCATTGAGCCGCAGTGACTGCGTAGGAGGCAGAAAGAGAGGGAGAGCAGGGGAACGCGGCTAACCGCCGCATGCATAGGAAAGAGAGTTAGCAGCGCAGGCACGTGGCGCAACTCGGTGCACCACCTACCCGGCGCGACGTCGGCACCGCATCTCGGCGAGACTGGGTGGCGCCCCACATTCGGTGTTATTACTGCCGACGCCGCTTCTCGTTCGACGTGCTCCACGGGCTCACGGTTGCTTGGTTCCCCTTCCCAGCCTTGCCCAGTGAATCGGGTCCGTCCTTCGCCATGCCCCCCCCCTTCCTCGGGCGCCCCCCCGCTGCGTGGAACCTGGTGGCGGCGGCCCCGCTGCTGCTGGCAGCGCCTGCGCTGGAGGCGTTACTGACTGCCGTGGCCCTGTCAGTTGGGCTGCGAAAGTTGGCCCCAGCGCGCGCGATCTGGTCGGCGCGGTGCACGTCGTAGCCTGCAGCGCTCCACGCGTGGATGAAATTGTCGCGCACGCCTGCCGGCTGCTTTGCCGGGTCGAACGTCGGCTGGGCGTTAGCGCGGCAAGTTTTGGCACAATGTGCAACCCGCAGGTCGCCGATCATGCCGCCTAGTTCCCTCTGCGTCCTGGAGACGAAGGCGCTGTCGGACTCCCCGGGGCATTGTGCGTCGATCGTGCGCAGTGGTGCCTCGTGCAGGTTAGACCCGTCGTTCTTCTTGGGCTCGTGGATGGCAGGTGGGTTCTTGGAGAAAAGTTCCCATGTGCCACGATTGAATGCACCGTCGTTTCCCGTGTGGTCGCTATGGTTGCGCCAGACGCCGTCGCGAGACTGCGTGGCCCAGCGGTATGAGGACCTCTCGTAGCTCCACTGGCCCCTGTGTCCGCGCGAGGAACCAGGCATGTCGTCAGCGGCGTGCTGAATGGGAGCGTCTCGTTGCACTCGTCTGCCGCTCTGTCCCCTGCCTCGCGCGCGCCCTTTTGGTGGGGCCCCGCGCGGCGAATCTCGCCTCCTCGGCCGCGGGGGTCTATCGTATGCGGCGCTTGATGTTTCATCGTTAGCAGTCCCGGTGTTGTGACCCTCCCTTGTAGATGGGCTTCCCTCAGGCACTTCTGCCCCGTCCGCTTCAGGCCCCTCGCTGGCCTTGCTCGGGCCGCGGCCCGGGACATCGCCATCCGGGCCCCTGGGTTCATCTGCGGCGGCAGCAGGCTCGCTTACTGAGCTGGTCCTGATCTCTCTTGTCGCTGTTCGTGGACCTTCAGTTCGGGGCAGCGGCTGCCCGCTTAAGTTCATTCCAGGGTGGGCAGGAAATAATTGCCTCCCAAGAGAGGCGCTCATGACCACGCTGACCAAGGGGTTCATATTCTTCTCCTCATCGCGTATTCGTTGGGAGCCCAGGTCGCACGGGGCCGAGATGTTATCCTAGGCGTTACCAGCCGACCTGGCCATTCGCTACATAAGCTGCTGATTAAAACATGTTGTCTGGTGCTGTGGCACGGCTTGCGACGATCTGCCGAGATCCAATCCCACGTGGGCGCATGCATGTGTCCAGCATTCCCAAGTTAACGTTGTCCAGACGTATCACATGGTCGGGGGCATCCTCGATGTCAGGTCTGGCCAGCCAGTGAGCAAGTTCGTCCGTGCTATGGACCCTCGGGTCTTTGTCCCCGTGGATGGTTTCGTTGACGTGTGCCACCCACAGTTTCTTTAGCCGATCGCCCTTCTCGACGATGTGCTGTGCGACCAGTCCAGCGGCCCATCTTTTGCCATCCCATTCCGCGCCTGGTACCAGTCCGTCGGTGGTGAGCCCCGACTGAGGAAAGGTCCAGGCCAGGTTGGAGCAGGCCAGAACGTTGAGCCAGTTGACGTCCAACCTGCTGTATGGCACCTCGTACTGGTTCTCCAGCACGTTGAAGATGCCGTTGGCAACTAAGCTGATGCGTCTGAGGCGCAGGCACATTTGAATTGGCGCGTGTCCCGGTGTGCCGCTGTTGTCGTCGGTCCACGCTTGGAAGAACACGTCGATTCTGGTGTTGGCCACGTCTGGCAGCTGCGGGATCCTGATGTCCGGAAGCATTTTCTTGAGATCGGGTAGTGGCGACGACTCCGGTGGTGACCCACAATCGTCGTCGTCGCCGCGGGGTGCCTTCGCTCTTTCTTTGCCAAGTGCGACGGCGAGGCCACCCGCGTCCTCTTTCCTCTTTTTGGGTGTCCGTGCTGTGGGGGGGACTGGATACATCGATGGCGTGTCACGCGCAAGGACGCAATTGATGACGGATGGAGCAGCGTCAAAGATGTGAGCAAGACGGTTCCCGCAGGACCATCCAGCGTTCCAGTCGCCACTCGTCCAGCAGTCGATCCAATTGCCCCAAGCGGGTCGGTTGCACTGCTCTTTGTCCTCCTTGCCAGGAGCCGGTCACCAGACGAAGCATCCGACCGCTGGCTGCCCGTGTTTCCAGGTGTATAGCAGCTTGGGCTCTGGGCAGCCGTCGCACGTAGCACTGTAGAGCCCAGACTTGAATCCCTCTGTGCCGAAGCGGTCGTCGCCAGGTCGGGTTGGGGGATTCGGTGCGCCTGTTGCCTTGGGGTCGTTGGCTGAGTCCGGTGTGAGAAGGAGGTCGCGTAGCAGGCAGTCGGCGGTTGGGTTTGCGATTTTGGCAAGCCGTGTGGGGAGGTGCACAGGCGGTGCCAGACTGACAGCTCTGTGCGCTCGCGGGGCATGCTATTCCGTAGTTTGGCCAGCTTTTCGTGCATCGTGTCTCTGGCGGGGGCGTCAGCACCTTGCTTCTCGAGGCTCTCCACCCAGCACCCAGTGCACAGCCAACGGCAGTTGAATCCCTCGTGCCACCGTGCAAATCCTCGCCTTTGCCAGACGTTGACGCAGATCGTTGTCCTCCCATGTGCCGTCAATGTTTGTGGATGGGGCCTCTCTGACTGTCGTCGCAGTAGAAGCTGGCAGTGTTCTGTGACGCCCTGAAGCGCCGGTCTCCTGTTCGCAGCCTTTTCAGTGTCATTGTGGCGCCCAGTTTTGCTGTAGGGGGTTCAGGTATGAGATGGTCATTTTGGTCCATCGTTCGCCCTGCGCCAGCATAGTGCAACCTCTGGTCCGGCGTGCGCCCGAGATGTTTGTGATTCCCTGTGATGGATTTGTAGAGCCAGCAGATGGTGCAACTGGTTGTCTCGTTGTCAGGCTGGACGTTGGTAGGAGCCAGCGGTCATTGGAGCGGTTCAATGAGCTGGTCGATCACCAGCAGGATCCCTTTGATGTGAAAGTCAGAGCGCTTGCATTCTGCCCACGTTGATGGACACCCTGCTTGTTTCGAGACATCGTGAAGGTGGCTGGTACTTATGAGCACGCCCACGTGTCTTAGCGTGTCTTCGCTGGTGGGCGGCCGCGAGCGAAGAGCGCACGCGGCGAACAGGGTGTCCGGGCCGACGGGCAAGCCTAATTAGCTACAAGACGCGCCGCTAGCCGGCCGGCCCACTCACAAAGCAGCCGCGGGGCTGTGGGGAAGCTGACGGCAGGGGGCATCCTGGGAAGCTCGGGCACGTGCAGTGGACAAAATGTAGAGAAATTCGATGCCTGCCGTGAGGCATGACCCACACAGCGACATGACGTGTACCGGGGCAAACGCGAAGCGTCTAGAATATTGTCGAATACTGCCGACAAACCCTGAACAGAACAGCTCAAGATCGAAATGGGAGTCTTAGAACTGCACCCCAAATCCGATTCCGAGACGCCTTCAGACAAATCTGCTACGCTCGCAGCGGCAGCCTGGAGGCGCTCTACACGGGTCGCCCGTGCACTAAGAGTCTCCGGGGTCACGCTGAAGGTTCACCTGGCTCTGGTATCCAGCATCCTCCTGCCCCTCTCTTCTTCGTCCCCTGAGGGGAGGGAGAAGCTCACTCAAACGCACTCGGCGAAGGCTCACCAGGTAAATCCACATCTGGGCTGTCCCAGCAGGAAGATGGAAGCTCACATGGACGCGGCTGGAGTCGCGTGAGGACTTGTGGACACCACGCGCTGGATACGCATGCGGAGTGCCGATGTGTGCGTCCACATGAAGGCCGAGCGCCCGAAAGATGAGCGGCCACGTGTGCGTCCAGTGCACGCCCAGGATGGCCAGATCATATGCATCCAGCTTACTGGTTGGAAGCGGTCGGGGGGTCCGCGCTGGGGTCTGCGCTAGAAATCGATCAACAGGGGGGGACGAGAGCGAATCTCAAAATCGGTCCCTGGAGCCCTCTAGGGCTCGAAACTGATCGATCGCTCGAGCCGCATCCAGCCATGGCGACGAGGGGGTCCCCTGCTGGCCGGAACCGGTACCGGGCCATCTCAGCCGACTCCGGCTTCTTGGTGCGTCCTATCGACAATCGGCCCCGCCCCGCTGCACGACCGAGGCCCTGACAGCGTCTTGGTCCAGGTCCACCCTCTCCAGCCACGGCTCCGCCGCGGGGTCCGCGAGCTGCTCGGCCGCCGCCGTGATCCCATGCCTGCGCGGAATCGCGGGGGGGGGGCATCGGACCGTCAGCTCCCGCCGCACCTGCAGACCCGGACCTCGGGCGCGCAGCGCAAGTGTATCGAAACGGGGTGGGGAGCGGCACATGTGCGAGCCCACTGGGGGCCGCAGGTTGAGCTCCCTGCGGGGAACGATCAGCAGGACGGGTGCGCCGGGTATGCGGAGAAAAATCGGAAATGGAATGAGGAGGAGAAGGCGGTGCCCGCAGCTGCGCTTTCAAAGCGAAAGGTCAACTCCACAGGATGGGTGGGACAATTAGCCTGGTGAAGAGCCCAACTCTGGGCAGCTGCGTGCAAGGCAAGGCCCACCCCTCTTTTCACATCCTGCCCGCCCCGGGCCAGCGTGGACAAGTGGCTGCGGAGCAGGCGCTCAGAGGTGCGCTGAACTCCTGGCGGGTGCACCATCTGCCCATCCGTGGGAAGGGGGGGGGTGCCGCATTGGGCGGAGTCCCCTATGCGAACACGCCCGCTGGAGTCGTAGGTGGAGCCCCACGTGGCGCGCGAACCGCGTGAGAGGTGTGCCGACATGGGTGGGGGGCGGCACACGTGGGGCACGGCCCGCGTGAGGGGTGTGCCGACACGGGGCGGGGGGGCGGCGTGCGCACCGGACCCTCTCCGGCGCCGTGGGTGCAGCGTTCCGTGGTGCACGATCCGCGTGAGCGGTATGCCGACATGGGTGGGGGGGGGGCCGGGATGCGAACGTAATATCTCTAGGGCCGTATTTGGAGCTACCTAAGGAAGCATGATCCGTACGTGGGATGGTGCCGACATGAGCGGGGGGCTGGCATGCGAACGCTGTCTCTGGAGCCCTAGGTGACAGATGGAGCTCCCCGTGAGAACACGATCCGTACGCGGGTTGTGCCGACATGAGTGGGGGGCGGCATGCGAACCCTGTCTGTGTGGCCGTAGGTGAAACTCCCTGTGGGGCACGACCCGCGGAGGCGGCATCTTCCTCCACGCTTTTGTCGAAGACTTGGGTGACCCCCGCTGCCCCGTCCTCCCCGCTGCCGCTTGGGCCCTGCTGCCTGCGCCTACGCCGAGGCAACCCGAGGCTATCCGTGGCCATGCGCGGCAGCCCGGAGCTCTCTGGGACGCCAGGCGGTGCAGAGGGCGGGGGGGCAGCAGCCGCCGCACGCAGCCCCACCCCTGCGTCTCGCACGGCCCGCTCGCTGGAGAGCGCACCGCGCGGCTGGACGGGCGCGCGAGCCTCTCGCGGTGCAGGGGCGAGGGCGGGATGCGAGAGGAAGAACCGTGCGGCCTGTTCGGCACAGCCAGGAGAGGTGAAAACCTCGGTGCGTGTGTCTTTACTCTCTCTGCTCCCTGTTTGCTTTTACAACGGCAACGCAACCCGACGAGGACATCATCAGCTTGCCACTTGCAGCTCCCTGTGCCCTGTGATCTCTACTCTCTACCGTGGCCCGCACCCCCATGTTCCCTACATCTACGTACGCTCGACATACGAATACCAATGCACACAGCCCTCTGCGTTCTTTTTTTTTGCTCTCCGCTCAATGTTCTGGACTCACTACTCTCAACCCTCTGGCTGCTCTGCCTGCGTGCAACCGCCATGCACGTTGCCCAGAACCCTGCGGTCGGGACCAGGTGTGCGGGAGCCTGTGGCCGTGACCCCATGTGAAAGACTCTGTGGGCGGGGAAAGCGCCCATCACTGCTGAAACCCAGTGAGCGCCCACCAGCTCTGAAACCCCATGTGAGAGACGCTGTGGGACGCCCACCGGGACCGAGCGCCCACTAGCGTTACGTCGGGCGTGTCCCCCTACAGGGGGATTTTGGGCGAGAAATAGAGAGTACGACAAAAAGGTAAAACAAAAAAAAGAAGTCAAAAATAGCCCCCTGATTATTATTTGACTATTTTTGAACATTCCCCCTGTAGGGGGACAGGCCCGACTTCACACTAGCGCTGAGACCCAGTGGGCGCCCACCGGCAGAGGTGGGCCCAGGGCCACCAGGACCCACAGTGGGCGCCCGTGTGCAACAACATGCCGGGCACTCCAGGACACCGGGGCCGGGCTCCCACCGCAGGGGCCCAGCGGAAGCCCACCAGCAGAAATGGAGACTCGGGGCGAGCTCGTGGCAAGAACCCCGGTGCGGACGCCTCTCGGGGAACGGCGGGTGCTGCAAAAGCTGGGACAAAATTCAAGTCGGGCATGTCCCCCTACAGGGGGATTTTGGACGAAGAATCATAAAAACAGTCAAACAACAACCTAAAATACTCAACAGCCACAGCGGTCAAACAATCCTCCCCTGACTACTTTTCGACTATTCCTCCTGCAGAGGGACAGGCCCGACTCAAGACAGAACAGGGAACCCTTCGCTGACGGCCTGCCCGCCCCCCGTCGCCGGAGCACGCGCCGCCCGCCTGCCCACGGAAGCCGCTGCGACGACGGGCCGCCTGCAGAGCCGGCGGGCCGCGCCCAGCACCATAGGCGCACTGAAACAGAAGACGCGCCTCGAGGTTCTCCTCGGTCGCAGCGCCCGTCCCAGGGCGAGGGGGAACTGTTCGCGCGCCTACACGTCGTTCGTTCCTGATCGTGCTCATTTCTAAACGTTGTCGTTTCTACTTGATCCTGGCCCCCTAGTGGCCAGGAAGAGGCCCTGGACAGAACAATTATGAATGAAAGAGGATCCTGGCCCCCCAAAAAATCAAGGAGTTGTCGAATAATTGGGAATGAACAGTGTGTATCTGGTCGCCGCCCTCCTGGGAGAGGCCTTCTCCAGCGGCGCTGCGCGTCGCTCCGTGCTGCTCCTCGCTGGGCCTGCCCCAGAGCAGAAACGAGGGGAGGGCGGCACCACCACCACGAGCAGCGAGGCGCCAGGGAGGGTCCTCTTGGTGATGCGGTCCCCCCCTCTTGCTCGAGGCACTCCCCGTCCCCAGACCGAAGAGGCATCGTGACACCCTCGCTGGAGATGGCCCCTCTGCTTGTGGTGGCGGTGTCGCCTCTCCTGGGAGCCGCGCAGATGTTAAACTCATGCGGGCCTCAGTCCGAAACATACCGCATTGGTTGTTGAACGTCCCACGCTCGAAAGAACCTGACCCGAAGAACGTCCACTGTCCCGTCCGCGGTGGAGGTTGCGAGCGAGAGTTGCACTTGCTCGAGCACGCCCAGCGGCAGCGGCAACAGACACGGGCGCGTCCACGGGCGGTGGCCAGCCGCGCGCGCGCGCCTGCGGAACGCCGCGCACAAGCGCCGCAAAGAACTGGATGGCGGGCCCTCCGAGACGCCCGCGCTCCGGAAGGACTCCAGCAGCAACCGCACGAAGCCGAGCAGCCCGCAGATCGCCTGGCGGGGCGCCGCGGTTGGCGCCTCCCCCCCGCCCTCCATCCCCTCTCCTCCGTCCTCCTCGTCCCTCTCTTCCTCCCTTCCCTCCTCTTCGTCCCTCCTCCTCGTCACTCCTCCTTGTCCCTGCCTCCCTCCCTCCCTTCTCCTCGCCCCTCCCTCCTCCCTCCTCCCTCCTCTCTCCATTCTCCTCGTCCCCCCTCCTACCTCCTCCCATCTCCCTCCTCCTCCACCCTCCTCCTACCTCCTCCCTCCTCCCGCCGCCTCCTCCTCCTCCTGCTCCTCCTCCTCTGCGGGCCCGTCTCTCGCCGGCCCCGCCTCGTCCCGGTCCAGCGCGAGCTGAAGGGCGACCAGGGCGGCGATCCTCGCCGGGGTTCCGCGCGGCCGCGGCGCGCCGCGCGTCGGGGGCCTGGCGAGGTCGGGTCGGGGAGGGTATCCTACTGTTGTTCGTGTTTGATGGATTCGGAAGAAGAAACGGCCGGCGGTGGACAAACCTCCCTGTAGCAAACCACCCTCTGGTGAAAACGGCCTAAGACCGAAACCGACGGACCTGGACCCGCAAACATCACGGCCGCGACGCCCTCTCGCGAACCGAAAACGTCCAATTCGCTAATCGACCTGTCAGGGTAGGAGGTCTATCAACCTCCGAAAAGGGTACCCATACCTCTACCCTTTCCTCGTTTTCCCCTTTTGGGACCTCCTCGGAGGCCCTCGTCGCCACCGCCGGATTCGCCTCGAAATTCTGGTCAGAACGCACCCAGGGAGAGGTCCGGGGAGGAGCGGTATCGGTACCTTTTGGTTGCCCATGGATGGTGTTGCATATCCTGGGGTACGGTACCCTCGGTGATCGCATTGTCTGGGGTGTTTTGGCCGGCGGCAGGTCTCATATGTTTGGAGGGTGTTTTTCTGTCCTGAGTCCGGCCGTTACGTCGCCGGGGGTTCGGAAGCACAGCTCCAGCGCATTAGGCCTGTGGAGACGGCCTTCAAGACATATTAGCCCATACGTGCACCGTCAGGAGATTCTCAACATCAAGGGCGCGAATGGAAACGTCGCTCGGATCGCCACGATTCGACGCGACTCGGTTAAAGTCATGGAGGTGCAGACCCAACTCGACGCCATCCTTGGGCACAAACGCATCCCCTTCAAAAACGTCGGCTGCTCTGTGCATGGGGGCAAATTCCACATGATCGCCTCGGCGCACATGTCCGTGCTCACGGCCGAAACGGCAGGCTGCGACCGCGTGATCGCCTGCACGGCGCCCGTGCCAGGCGGAAACCTCGGCCGCATGCCGCGCACCACCATTGAGGGATTAAAACGGAGCGAGCGGGATTAAGCTGGTTGAGGCGGAATCAAGCGGATAGACCAGCGCCGATGATGAAATTAATTTCGCAGGAGTTGCATCCGAACCTGGTGAAGTTCGAAGGTCGAGGATCCAAGGCGTCAGGACGTTTATGATTCTTTGATGGGGCCTCTGAAAACCTCCGTGGACCGTCAGAGACCTCCCGCGGGGGCCTCTGGGGGCCTCCTCAGCTGGCTGTCGGTCGTCGGGAATCTTCGTCAATTGGTTCACTCATTAACCGCATGCCCGGCATATGGGGTTATGCTGTTGATGTGATGCCTCCGCTTTGTCATTTGTTCACTCATTCACACCACCCTCCTCCGTTCCGTACTCAAACTCACGCCGGCGCAGACTCACCCGCGTACTCACTCATACTCAGATGCCCCCCGTACCCACATGCAAAGACAACTCACACACAGACACAGTCACAATCATAATCGCTCAGATTCAGACTCGCACACACACACAACCATTCATACTCAGAACACCCGCGCTCAAGCTCACTCACGTTAACACTCGGTCATCGTCCACGCACCGACCACTCGAAGTCAGGCTCACGCGCACTTTCTCACCCGCATTCAGACTCCTCGTGCTCCTTCTCACCCATACTGGAACTCCGCATGCTCAGATCAACTCATACTCATATTCCCATGCACGGTGTAGCAGACATGGGACTTGAGCATCCCAAGGAGGTTCACAAGTGGCATAGCACTGGCCCTGCAGGACCCACATAGTCGGGACCTCTCGGCTAGAATGGCCAATTTGGCAGGATTGACGCGTGCGCCTTCAAAGCCCTATGGCCATCGCGACGCAGCAAACACGTCAAGGGGGTTCCACATGAGACTCGCCAAGGACTACATCACAGGCCGTGTCGCGCCCAGATTGTCAGGACCTGTTCGGGAAGAACTGCAGTTGTGGCGGGGCACGCGCGTCTCGATCCAGAGCCCCATTGCGATGTAGCAGAACTGCAACCCGCCAAGAATTAGGTCGGCGTCGCAACCCCGGAAATCTGAGACCGCGCACCGGAAAGCGGAGGCTTGGAAACGAAAGCCCCTGCCCCGGAATTCAACGACCCAACCTCGGAAAGGAAAAGACCCCTCCCCAGACACCGCCACCCCCAGAACCAATGGCCTTGACCTTGGAAACAAGCAGCCCACCTCCGCAGCGCGTGGCGAGCCCCCAGGCCAGGGGTTGCCAGACGAGCGAGCCAGCGACGCCACTTTCGCGCGCTCATCGCTGCGGGAAAAGCGGAGGAGGGGAAGTGGGAGGAGGAAGCGGGAAGGGAAGGGAAAAGAAAGAGGCGAAGGCCCGCCCTTCCGGCGCCGGCGGTTGCCTGGCGCTGCGCCCGGCAACCGCTCCCCAGCGCCCGCCCCCGGACAGCGGGCCGAGCCCCTGGGCCTGAGTTGCCGGACGGGCGGGCCGGCAACTCCCCACGGGCGCGCGCACCCGACCCCCCTCGCACGGAACCAGGAGGCGCCGGAACAGGGGTTGCCAGACGAGCGGGTCGGCAACCCCGCTCTCGCGCGCTCCTCTCCGCAGAGGAAGGGGATGAGGAGGGGGGGGGATCGCGAGGGCAAGCCCACCGGGGGCCGCGCGGCGGGAGCACCCTCTCTCCTGCGCGGCAAGCCCTGCCCCGGATCCCGCCAGGCGAGGGAAAGGGGAGGAGAGAGCGCGGGAGAGGCGAACGAGGCAGGGTCGAGTGGCACGGCTCTGGAGCCCGCGGCCCTGTCGCAGCGCTCCGAGCCCGCGCCCAGCGTGGCCGAGTTCGGCCCGAGCTCGGCCGCGCACCGCGCGGGCGGTATAGCGCCCTCCCCCGGGCGCGCCTGCCGCCCAAACCGGAGGAGGAGGAGGAGGAGGAGGAGGAGGAGGAGGAGGAGGAGGAGGAGGAGGAGGAGGAGGGAGGAGGGAGGAGGAGGAGGGAGGAGGGAGAGGGAGGAGGGAGGAGGGAGGAGGGAGGAGGGAGGGAGGAGGGTCGGGCCGGGGTCGGCGCCCCGATCCAGACCAGCGTTAACGCCGGGGGGGACCGACGGGGAGAGCTTAAGGTGTCATCCACGCGTCCCGTCCGCGCCTGGCGTGGCCGAGTGCGGCCGAAACTCGGCCGCGCCAGGCGCGCGGGCGGCGGCGCCCTCCCCCGAGGCGCCTCCCGCCCGTCCGAGGCCCCTCGGAGCGGGGGCGGGAGCCCTCCTCCTGGAGAGAGCGGAGGGAAAGGAAAGAGAGGGCGGGCGAGAACAGCGGGAAAGGGCCGGGGAACCCCCTGACGGGCCCGCGGCCCGTGCCAGCGCCCCCGTCCGCAACCGGCGTGGCCGAGCGCGGCCGGAACCCGGCCACGCGGGCGGGCGGAGCCAAAAAGGGGAGAGGGCGAGGCAGAGGAGGGGAGAGAGGGAGAGCGAGGGGAGGCAGGGGGCAGCAAGGAGAGGGAAAACCAACTGGAAGGACACGAATCGAAAATCCGAATATTCCGTCCCACCAAGGAGCCCCCCGGAGACCCCAAGAGGCGCCCAGCAGGGTCTCAATTGGCCCCGGAGAGGCCCCCAAGAGGCCCCCCCCCCCCCCACAAAAACCAGGAGCCTCCAACCTGCCTCCGAGACGGCCCCCGAGATGCCCCCCACGAGATCCCAGCAAATACCCATTGACTTCTCACCCACAACCCAGGCACGGTGGCAGGATGGGCAGAAGCCCATTAGAGAACAAAACGCGGATGCCCGAACATGGGCAGACCTCGTCGCCTTGGCGGACTCGATCAAAGAGGGAGCAAGGAAACGAGAACGACCGCGCCTGGACGCCAAGATCGGACCCCCCCTCCCCTGGCGCTCAGACGCCGGGACTCCGCACGGAGGAAGGAAGCGCCATGCCTCTCCGGTCTTCCTGTAGACGGCACAGACCGACGAGAGATATTTGAAGCGCCCTCGACGCCACCGATACATCGGCGGTGCATCGGCGATGCGGCGCGATCCACCGACCCTGTTGAGGCACCCTGGAAGACTGGGAGGGGAGCGTCACGGGCACGACATTAAGAGAAAGAACAACTGGATAAACACAAACGTTCGGAGCTGCAAACTGAGTTGTTGGATCTGCGCTGAGCCCCCCTCCCTGGCGCGGGGTCCAGAGACATCTAGATCACCTAACTCCGCGGGGCGGGGTCCAGAGATATCTAGATCACCTAATTCCGCGCATCGCGCTCCGCGAGTGTCTCCGCGCCATCGTGGGCCGCCCTGGAGGAGAGCAGCTCTCTGGCCCAGGCCGCGACGCGCGAAGCGCGACTACGTCCGCCCCCCCTGCAGGTGACCTAGGACATGGTGCCCGGAGGGGGACGACAAGAGAGCACTGGCTCAGGGGGGGGACCCAACACATGCAATCGCCGATGCATCGCCGATCACTCGGCGACGTGCCCCCATGGCGAACCCCCCCCCCCACGTTCCTGGGCAGATCGGCGCACCCAGCCCCGTCCGGCGAGGAGTGGGCGAATGGGAGACGATGCTTCCCCCCTGGGCCACTCCCAGATCTGCAGAGGCCCTGGGACACACAAATGAATACACACAAGAACAGGATTACCCATATTTTGCCATATTTTCTTAGTTTTTGTCTTCCCCCCCACTTCCCATATTTTCCCATCATTTTCCAGGGAATCGATGATGAACTGTGTCTGTGAGTTCTTTCCCCTCCTGAAGATCGTGGCACCAGCGCACGGGCGCGGTCGCCGTCGCCTCGCGGCGTCGGAGGGGCGGCACCCGGCAGCCGACGCCACCCCGGGGACGAGGCGCCGCCCGAGTGGCGCTTGGCCGAGTCAGGCTCCCCCCTCGCCCCCCCTCCCTCCCCCCCTCCCCTCCCTCCCCCCCTCCCCTTCCCCCCTCCCTCCCCCCCACTGCCTCGCCACTCCCCGCCCCTGGCCCTGCCCGAGGCGCCCCGGTCGGGCGGCAGGCGTGCTGGGGGAGGGCGCCACCGCCCGCGCGGTGCGCGGCCGAGTTCCGGCCGCACTCGGCCACGCCACGTGCGGAGGGAAGCGCTGGCACGGGCCGCGGGCCCA